TGGGTGCATTTCCCCTCCTGCAATCCCAATCTGGGTGCATTTCCCCTCGGTGTACCCCAGTCTGGGTGCATTTTGCCTCCTGCACCCCAATCCAGCTGCGTTTTGCCTCCGTGCACCGCGATCCAGCTGCCTTTCCCCTCGGTGCCCCCCAGCCCCAGTGCATTTCCCCACCCAGCACCCCAATCCGCCTGCCTTTCCCCCCCATGCACCCCGAGCCGGGTGCGTTTCCCCTCCTGCAGTCCCAATTCACCTGCCTTTCCCCTCGGTGCACCCCAAGATGGGTGCATTTTGCCTCCTGCACCCCAGTCTGGGTGCATTTCCCCTCTTACATCCCAATCTGGGTGCATTTTCCCTCGGTGTATTGCAATCCAGATGCATTGCCCCTCCTGCACCCCAGTCTGGGTGCATTTCCCCTCAGGGTACCCCAATCTGCGTGCATTTCCCCTCCTGCACCCCAGTCTGGGTGCATTTTGCCTCCGTGCACCACGATCCAGCTGCCTTTCCCCTCGGGGTCCCCCGGCCCCAGTGCATTTCCCCTCCTGCATCCCAATCCGGGTGCATTTCCCCTCGGTGTACCCCAATCTGGGTGCATTTCCCATCCTGCAATCCCGGTCTGGGTGCATTTCCCCTTGGTATACCCCAATTTGGGTGCATTTCCCCTCCTGCAATCCCAATCCGGGTGCATTTCCCCTCGGTGTACCCCAATCTGGGTGCATTTCCCCTCCTGCAATCCCAATCTGGGTGCATTTCCCCTTGGTGTATCGCAATCCAGATGCATTTCCCCTCCTGCAATCCCAATCTGGGTGCATTTCCCCTTGGTGTATCGCAATCCAGATGCATTTCCCCTCCTGCAATCCCAATTCGGGTGCATTTCCCCTTGGTGTACCCCAATTTGGGTGCATTTCCCCTCCTGCAATCCCAATCTGGGTGCATTTCCCCTCGGTGTACCCCAGTCTGGGTGCATTTTGCCTCCTGCACCCCAATCCAGCTGCGTTTTGCCTCCGTGCACCGCGATCCAGCTGCCTTTCCCCTCAGTGCCCCCCAGCCCCAGTGCATTTCCCCACCCAGCACCCCATCCCAGCTGCATTTCTTTCCAGGGTGCCTCAGCCCAAGCGCGTTTCCCCTCCGTGCACCGCGATCTGGGTGCACGTCACCCCTGTCCCCTCCGCGCTCCAGCTGCATTTTCCCCTTCCCCTCCTGCACCCCAGTCCCAGTGCCTTGCTCCCATCTCCCCTCGCAGCACCCTAGGCTGAACCCGGCTTTCTGGGTCCTCTGGTAGAGGAGCAGAGGAGCGGTAGCTGGGCATTTTCCCTTTTTTCAGGACTTTTCCCTTTTGTTTTCTCTGCCTCTCGCCTCTCTCCGTGCGCGCCCAGGTTTACGCGTCCATGAATATTTGTATTTCCAAGTGCTGAGCCCTGGCGACATCCGCTACATCTTCACTGCCACTCCGGCCAAGGATTTCGGCGGCGTGTTTGTAAGTGTTAAGAACTGGATTTGGCTCATCCTGATATTTCTCCATCGCAGGGGCCTGGGGATTTGAAGCCTGGTATAAGAATGGAGCTAATTGCTCTTCCATGAGCCTCTGCTTAGGAAGGAGGCACGCGATGGTCGCCGCCTCCGGCCTCAGCGGGCTTTCGGAGCAGGAATTTGGTCCCATGTGTCTTCAGGGAGCACGTGCTCCGCTCTTTCCTCCTCCGAGGGCTGAGACAGGAGCGGCCGTGGCCCAGGAGAGCTGGTCGGGCTCCTGTGGGGAACGGCAGAGATCAACCAACCAGTCTGCAGTCTTTCCCTGAATAAACCCGGAATCGGGATGGGGGTGCGGGAGCAGGTTTGCTGGGAAGTAGATGGGCCATGGAGGACTGGAGGAAAAGACACTTTCTGGCTTGGGACATGTCTTCTGGGAGCAGTGGGATGGATGGATGGTGCTGTGCCTCAGTTTCCCCTCCCCGTGGTGACAGCGAGATGTAGGCAAGCCATGGAGCGAGGTCGGGATGGCTCTACAGGTCTGGAAAGGGGCAACCAGCACCCCTAAATCTCCCCAAAAGCCCACAGGGATGAGGAGGGTGTGGGGCAGCGGGGCTGGCCGCGGCGGGGGGGGGGGC